ATGAGTACAACAATTTGAAAATGTTATGTGAAACACAATTATTCCTTGTTTTACAAGATGTTGGAGAGTATGGTGATTAACCCACGGCCAACACGAGCTGAAACCTCTGATGTTGCTAATGCTATCCTTGATGGTGCTGATTGTGTAATGTTGTCAGGTATGTCCATGTCTTTGACATCTGTCCCTCTTACTTGCTTCCATTCTCCTTTCAATTTCTCCTTTTTCACTTCATTCTTTCATTCAAACACCTATGCTTTCTTATTCACTTCTTGTTTCGATCCCAGTCAAGCTCTTTTCTACCTTCTTTTGCCCATTCAATCTTTACAGCATTTTTTCATTTCTCTCTGTCAACAGGTGAGACTGCTAAAGGCCGCTACCCAATTTTAGCTGTACGCATGATGCACAAGATTTGTCGTGAGGCTGAAGCAGCCATTTTCAGCAAACAGCTTTTTGATGATCTTCGTCACTCTATGGATATAACTGCTACAACTCAAGAGGCTACAGCCATTGCTGCGGTCGCGGCCTCCTACCAGTGTAATGCAGACGCCATTGTTTGTTTAACTCACACAGGAAAGTACGTATTAAGACTGATTGATTGATTGATTGATTGCATGATTGATTGATTGATTGATTGATTGATGGGTCTATTGATTGATTGATTGATTGGTTGATTGATTGATTGATTGGTTGGTTGATTGATTGCATGATTGATTGATTGATTTATTAATTGATTGATTGATTGCATTAATGATTGATTGATTGATTGATTGATGGGTCTATTGATTGGTTGATTGATTGATTGATTGTTCTTTATATATTTGACGGGCTGGTTTTCAATAACTTATATTTCATTCATTTAGAACTGCACAAATCACCGCTCGTTTCCGCCCACGTTGCCCCATCGTTGTGGTAACMCGTGACCCTCGAGTTGCCCGCCAGATGCACTTGTATCGYGGATGTTTTCCAATAGTCTACGAYCGAGAACCACTCCCCAATGTCCTTGAGGAACACGACGAGCGTCTAGACTTTGCCCTCAACATGGGTAAAACTATGGGTTTCTTGAGAGAAGGCAGCGTCTTCGTTTTCATCTCCGGRTGGCGAGCAGGAGCTGCTCACACTAATACCATCCGTATTCTTACAGTGGCYAAGGATAAGATTCACATTGCTCGTAGTCTGTCCGAAACWGCTGATCCCAGTGGAGTCAATATTACAGAGTAGTAGTAAACGCTRCTTTGGGATTCCTGTGTTTACGAAGACAAACTCGCACCAGTGTAGGAGCCAGCAACACAGGCTGAAACCATAGATAAAGAATAAACACAAATGATTAACAATCTTTAGAAAACCTTTGGCAAACTGAAATATGGTTTTAAAATGTTGTATCTTGTGGCAGATATATACATTTTTTGAGTATAAATTTATMAAAATGACGGATTCTAGATCTGTTATACGAGAAAATGGAAATTCTTCCGTATATTGTCGTAATACAGCGAAGCCAGTAATCCCGTCAAGTTTATTAKGCGTAAGGTCGCGTCCCTAGTAAGACGCTACAGAAACGTAGACGTACTCATGTGTTTGTCAAAAGTCCTCGAAAAGATATTAGCATTTATTGTATAGGTGTGTCAACTTTTGTGAACTGAATGCGTTTGTGAAAAAGAATTGGTGTGAAAAGAAAGGAAAAAGTTGAAAAAAAGAAGACTAGGCGAAATATTGTCGTGATGATTTGTGAAATCATGTGCTGAGTTGTAAGTATACATTGAAGTTTGAATCACTTTTAGAAATGGAGGTATTTTAATATGAAGTAAGCTGATCGTCGTTGCTTTGYGTTGTACAAGCAATAGACATAAGCTTATACATGTGGGTCCATGTGTAAAATGAGGTGTTATTACTTTCTTTTTTGAGGGGGACTTTAGGGTTTTCAGAAGGGTTTTCAAAACATAAAAATGCGTGATTTGAGGAACTTGTGGATTTAGACGATTTTCTGTGCGGATTTGAACTATTCCAACACCCTTATCCCCCTTTCCACATTAAGATATGTACTCCCTGCTATATGGCAGCCAAGATTTTCTATAATTCATCATGTGATTTATTTTATCCAGATGTTTGTATCTATTTAGGTTAGATGGAAGACAGCACAATCAAATTAAAAAAAAGATTTAGTGAAAATCGAACAAAGTTTATGTTTGTATGTTATCAGTTCAAAGTGGTTTCGATATTGGGTGTACAAAATGGCATATTTTCCTGTACCGCAAACGCATGTTTAGGAAACAATAAAATATAATGGACAAAAGAAATCAAGTCCAAAGTTGATTTTCTTTGACACAGGGATCCCACCGTTTAATAGTATGCTACGAATGGCTGCCAAACGTTTGTGCTTTAGACTGCGATGAGATTCACTACTTCGCATAACCCCAACTACTATCGCCGTGCATTACATTTCACGCTTTTGGCTGGTGAAATAGCGAAAAAATCCGGGAAAATTGAATCAGTCACAGATTGCCATGGGCTGTCAAATTACTTCCGGTGACGTCACGATATATGCAGGATATTGACAATGATACACCTCGATCCAAAGGTGACATTYTGCCCTTATGGAATGCAAAAGTCCGTAGATTTTACCCTCGTCTGTCTGTCTAGTATATAGACACGATAACTCTCGTATTTGGAATTTAAGTATGTCAAASGAAGCAATGAATTCGATATTATTAGCTCATCAAAGATATCCAAAATGGCGGCCTGCGAGTGTCAAGATGTAATGCATTCCGAAGAACTAATACTGTTCAGCATAGCCCAAGCAGGAAGTGAACTTTCTTACTCATTTACTAACTTCAATGGCCGAGAAGAAGCCTTCTCAGGACAAACCTGAGCTGCCTTTGGATGAAGTTCTCAGACCACCACCTCGRCGRAAGAAATCTTTGAAAAGRTCTAAGTCTGAAGCTGAGAAATCTCTGMGAAGACGACTCAATTCCTCTGATTCTGCCAAACCTGTGAACAAAGACGATAGATTGACTGTTAATAACAAAATAAAAACAACTCAAGAAGCTGAGATTTGTGTCAATGAATCCYCCAAGGTTAGTGCTTCAACATCCACCGAGAAAGCTCTACCAAAGCTTCCAGATGAAATTGATAACAATAACAGTGCACTCAATGCTAATAGTGAATGTGAAAAACAAACCTCAGTCGAGCCAAAAGCGACCAATGAAATACAAATATTAAACGATTCGAAACTTGAAGRGCAGCCAGAGTTTTCCAAGGAGAACAAAATGACGGCGAAACCATCACTTTCGATGGATGAAAACCGAAATACAAGTCCTSTAGAACTTGAAAWGAAGAGTGAGGATTGTATACATCATGATATGGGAAATAAAACTAGTTCTTCATGCAAGAGCAATCTTAAAACGTCTGGCGAARGCTCACCTTCATCTCCTCAGAGACAAGGCATTAATGRCTCTATAACAGCTGATGCAGAAGYCATGAAAACATCCGAAGATAATATTGACTTTGAATCATATTGCTGGGTTGCTACTGATGGTAACAATTCATCATCTTGTCCAAGTAATACAGGAATTTTACAAGATACTTCTCAACCTGGASTTGAGGTTTCAAATGTTGCTAACAGTGTTGATATGATTAAAGAAATATCACCACAAACCACAAAATGTCAAAGTAATGACATACATGTATCAGTKAATAACTTTGATGATCCAGAGCGTTCGGTTGTATTGGATGTTCMTGCAGTTTCAGATACAAATGTTTCAAATGTGTTTCCTCTGCCTGAAGCAATTGGTTTCACACATGYAGAAAATGCTGAAAATAAAGAGTCTGAATCAGRAAACACGGCTGAAGGGTCTTCACAGATTATAACRGCTACTACAAGTAATGACTCTGTCATCTGTGCGAAGTCAAGTTTGGTTGATGATGAAGATGAAATATCAAGGCAATCTGAGCTTGAAAGCAGTGATYCACTTAAAATCTCAGCTGATCTTGACATTTCTACTAGTAAGTCATTCATTAATCCAGAAGTRATAGATTCAAATGTCAATACCACTGCCTGTTTGCTCAACAACTCAAGTGTCTCTACTGATGGAAAGGAAAGTGAAACACCTATTGAAATTTTAACACCATGCATAAATAGCAGTGCTGGAGACAAAAATTCAAATATCACAGAAAATAATGAAATCATCTCAACTGTTAAAGGTAAATTATCTTCATCATCAGAGAACAGAAAAGYACAAGAAAACTCAAAAGATATTCCAGAAACAAATTCCACTGATTTGAATRCTCAAGATTCTGTGCAAAGCACTASCGATGAGATTATTGTAGAGACTGAGAAAAAAACTAAATCCAAGAACAGTTRTTCAAGCARGGGAAAAGAACRTAGAAAAGAATCTATACCATACCAACATATGGGTGACAGTTTGAGTTCAGTGGAAGAGTATGAGCTCTGGGAAGAGGAGATTAATTTTAGTGACTCAGATTCTGATATTTTTTACTCTGACGATTCTTCAAGCTCAGGTGGTGAAGGGTAYTATGACATAGAGAACAATGAAAAATTATGGGGAACTCATAACATTGAAGGAGAGCAGGTGAATTGTTGATTGATTATTGATTGATKGAGTGTCAATTGAATATTGATTAATCGTGGATTGATTGATTGATTATTGCTTGACTGACTGGCTGATTGATTCATTGCATGATTGATTGATTTGTTGATTCATAGATTATCAACTGATTGATTGATTCATTCATTCATTCATGTTCATTGATTGATTGATTGATTGATTGTTGATTGATTGTTGATTCATTGATTGTCCACTGATTGATTGATTGTATGCCACTAAGCCAATGATTGATGGCATTTATCATCAATCCTAATCCCAGTTTTGCTAGCATAAAATACATTCACTTTGACTGCAAATCATATTTTGATAATGATCAAGGTGTTTCCCAGTCAAATTGTTTGTCATATTTTATCACTTTTTGTCCCAGATTTTTTTTCATTCTCAGTCCTTTCTTTTTCTTATTGCATTCTCTTTCACTTCCCTTTCTTTCACTTATTTCAAATTTGTCTCTTTCTTTGTTGTTTTCGATTTCGCCCCTTCATCAATATTTGCTCACAACTTTTGCTTTTCCTTTCCGGAAGTATTGCCTATTCTTATCATAATATTTGTCTCTTCCAGGGTAATTCATTGCCAAGAAGTCCATCTGGAGAAGCCACCATAAATGAAATACTTTCAGTTTTTCAAAATACAGAGTATTTATCAGTAACTGATGGGAAGGATGCAAGTAGTCCCAAGGAGGGTAACCATAGTGATGGTAGTCACCATAGTGATGGTAGTCATAGTAATAACGCCAAAAAGGARGAACCAAGCTTAAATGATCTRRTACTTTCAGAGGATCGTGCTAACTCGCTAAAACGTAAAATCGGTAGTTTTAAGGTCATCAAGACGGCTGATCAAAATGTCGACACTGACGTTATTAAGGGAGCCGCTGTTGCCATGCCAACAGACTCTTATAAACATACCGGTACMGGAGATATGAATACCGAGGAAGCTGAGAAAGCCATACAGGCTTTACACAAGAGCTACCTTAAACACGTTAGCCGTGATAGTAAAATCAAACAAAAAAAGTCAACAGAGTCAGAGAGTGGAAGCACTGTCTATTTCTCAAGGGTGTCGAACATCCAACAGGACAGTGGTAGCTTTAAGACGGATAAGGGACTGGAGATTTCAAGACCCCGATCTATTTATGGTGAGCCACGCCTGCGATCTTTGAGTACCGGAGATCTGAATAAATTACAAGGCGATATCAGMAAAAAGAAGTACACGTTACCCTTGAGAGCTAAGAGCTGGAGGGTCGAAAATGACGAGAGGCTTGTCAATCTTGATGGCGAACTAAGATACATTATTGGATCAATGGGTAAATTAGAAATATCACGTGATCGAAGGGACAGCGGTTCTCCCATGGTAAAGAATGTGCGTGGAAAAGAAGCAGGGACTGAGATGGTGTTAGAAGTGAAATCAGGGGACGCTGTTGAGGATGTTAAAGACAGCYCAGAGCCTTCCACGACTGAATCAAACTCTAACAATGTTGTTGAAGATATATCGTGTTCTTTAAGTGAACTGTCAACACTGGAAAGTGCTACTTCGAGCTTTGACACCATCGACTCTTCYAATACTTATTTGAGCAGTCCTGTCATTGAAAGACCTTTGTCGACTGTTCAGGAAGAGAGTCCGAATTCAGCCTCCACAATAGATAAATCCCAAGGTGGTCAACCTACAGACGAGGAGAAGGTGCCCGGTGCCACGCCCACAAAACAAGCTACGGTGAGTTTTAGAGAAGACATGAAACCGGTGCTTACTTCCACGCCAAAAAGACCAAAAAGCCTAGAGCTATCTTCCAACGTKTTCGAGGAAAGCTCTTTAAACAGTACTCAAAATMACAAGGATAATTCAAACACCAGTGCGTCTGACAGTTTCAAATCCCCTGCAAAGAAAGGCATTAAAAACGGAGATGTCGAACCTAGAAAAATTAAGATGTCCAAAGGAAGGCGTCCTTTCAGCGCAGTGGAGCCTGGTAACATYCCCACTAGTCCCACTGAAGCAATCGTTAAATTGAGAGARTTTCGGTCGACTGGAGATAGTGACTCGGTTGATACAGGATTGCCAGATAGTGACATCGTTGAAGTTGGTGAGGAAGCAACGGAAGAGGAAACCACACCGCAGCGACCACCAAGAAAAAAGAATCCTTTAACTCCATCAGCAAGTTTCGTAATACCTTGTAAGTAAAGGATAAAGTTTCTATTTTGTACTTGATATCGCTTTTAAAATTGTCCCCCAGCATCCCTTTGGAACTTTTGTTTCTGTTTGAAAATAAAAATACATCGTAATATAAGCAAAAACGTACTCTTTATTWTCACTTTATACTATATGAAATGAGATACAGTACTGTAAGATTCGACCTTAAAACTTACAAATGGAAATGGATTGATAGATAGATATTTGAAGTCACCTTATTTTTCATATATGAAAAATCTARTACACGGCCGCAAYGAATGCTGRTGGACCATGGCACTTWAGRTTAATCCTCGCAATATATTTGTGGTGCATTGAGTTGAAAATATACTAATTCATATTCATATGTATGGTAAAATGCATACGAAAACCATGTATAGATATTTAAACGGATTTTCTAAACAATCAAGTCCTGATACCGTATATAATGTACATGTTTCCTAAAAAAGCTTATATTTTTGGACAAGGATTTYTGCTAAGTTGTTGCCTTTAAATCAAACAGCTCGTGAGAAGCCAGTCAAGCGTCCCAAGAATAACAAGAATCGTCCAGACAAGTCATTCAGGCAAACRTTATCAGACGCTGATTGGTTAAAAGTTCGTCGCAGCGTTGCAAAGTCAACATCGCTTGATTTATCTGTAAGTTTCTGGTTCTCTGTCGATATTTTATGCTCTGTACCAGTAATRCTATCTTCTATGATTATGGCCATTTATCATAATATGAGGCGAAGCGGAGTGCTTCACTATTGTTGATTCATCTTGCAATAGACTGAAATAGACCTTAACCAGTCACCTATTGCTTTGCAAGCTCAAATGAAACCTTTCTTTTCTCTCAAGTAATTCTAAATAATTACATGTGGAAGCTATTCAAACAGACTGATGAATGATACCAGCTATATCACAGGCACATTAAAGAATACGAACTGCTTTTATCCATTATTTTAYTSGTATGATACCATTTGCAGCATGATGATCCCATGACCTTAGTAACAGATGCGTTGCCAGCTTCAATTCCTAATTTTCCRACTCACAAGAGAGCACAGATTGCTCTGGAATTGTACACCACCGAACGCACGTACGTTAGAGGACTGGAGACGGTTATMGAGGTAACACATAGAATGACTTCCTCATCTTGATTCTCAATACCATGATGCATTTCGCGAAAACTAACGTAACGTCATAAGGATTGCAGAAAATACTATTATTGTATTTTTTTGTCTGTCTTTTCTTGCGTTTACATTCATTTTTGTTTATCTCTTGTGTAGCTTTTCAGAAATCGACTTGAGGAATACCTCGATAGCAAAGAGATGGAGACGATGTTTTCAAATATCAAGGAGTAAATATACGGATTATATTTCGTTTTTTCGTAA